ACGTGTGAGCATCAAGAGCTACTAATCTACTTTTTAACTGAATGAAAATACAGCTGTGTAGTTTAAAAGCTTGATAATACACCAGTCTGAACGTCCATCAACTCTTCAGAAAACTCCATCATTTCAGTGCTTCTACTTCAAAGGACAGCAGTGCAGCTGCCAGTTACTCTACATGCTGCATCACTCCTGGAGGTAATATTTCTCATGGATTCTCTCCTGGGAGCAAACACAAACACAGCTGAACTCAAAACTAGAGAATTCTGTCACGACAAGTTATTTAGATTCTTTCACAGACAATGGTCTCTGGAGACACCTGAATCTATCCAAACAACCACAGATCCTCTCTTATTAAATATAAATGTATTATTCAGAAACTAAAAACCACAGACAAGTATGTACGTAGGATCACAAGTTCCCTATTGACAAGCCTGTTTTATGGAAAAGGGGAATACTAGATGGATAATGAAAACAAATTATACAGTGTGCAATGGGTACATGCGAACATGTAAGTGCATGCGCCTAATACAGAAATCATGGACTACAATTCATATACAAATGACATTTTAAACAGCAAATAAAATATTTAGAAGTACAGTTCTCAGAGAGAGATAGTCCACGGAGAATCAGAGCACTGTTTTCTGAACGCAGCTTAAAATTTAGGTTCAGGGTTGCAAATCAGAGCTTTTTATATTACCTTTCTGGCAAATGAGCTCTTCCCCTTTCATGCTGCCATTCTAAAGCGGGAACAAATGAAGACGGTAGTATAGTTTAAAAAGCATTTATTTTCAGAATCAGTTTACTTACTAGGCTTAAGATAGTCACATTTTTTAATCAACTTCAGGGCACTTTACAAGACTTAACTAAAAATGTATTTGAGGAATTATTCTCATTTTGAGTAGAGATTTAAAATTTGGTCACTATATTTTATAAAGTTCTTTCAAAAGGATAACTACAAATCCAATTATAGATCTTATAGTGGCCTTCCAGCACCTGAAGGTAAATCCAATTATAGATCTTATAGTGGCCTTGCACCTGAAGGGGGCCTACAAGAAAGCTGGGGAGGGACTTTTCATAAGGGCAACTAATGACAAGACAAGAGGAAATGGATTTTAACTGAAAGAGGGTAGGTTTAGATTAGATATTAGGAAGAAGTTTTTCACTCTGAGGGGGGTCAGACATTGGAACAGGTTGCCCAAGGAAGTTGTGGATGCCCCCTCCCTGGAAGTGTTCAAGGCCAGGCTGGATGAGGCTTTGAGCAACGTGGTCTAGTGGAAGGTGTCCCTGCTGATGGCAGGGGGGTTGGAACTGGATGATCTTTAGGGTCCCTTCCAATCCTAACCATTCTATGATATGATTCTATGAATTGTCCATCAATACACATTTATACATATTTATTATATACCCGTATATACACACACTTTCTTTTAATACATACACATTTAGAATACCCCACTCTCCTACTTCTGTGGGTCTTGATATATTTTTAAGTAATCCAGTACTGAAGTTCAAAGGTTCACACATCTCTCTTGTTCAAAACTTACAAAATTAGCCAGGACAGAGCTGGAGATATGGACCACAATCAAGACAGAGGTTAAAGAGTCACTGAGTATGGTAAGTGGCCACAAATGTGTTCAAAACCTACAGCAAAAAGAAGGAAAAAAGCTGTTCTCAATTACCACCCCCCCAAAATCAACCTCCACTGCCCTTGGATAGAGGGTGTGGAAATGCAATTATATCCAGTGGAAAACCAGACACATTCCCCTTCCCTAATTCCCCTTGTTCACAGTAGGTACCTGAACTTCATTAAAACAATGAGTTACAGTGCAAGACTGGTACTATTGTATTACCATTCAGACTATTTCCAGCCTAAGCAGTTACACTTTAACTGGTGGGGTGAGAGGTTCTAAACTCTGAACCTAAACAATACAAAGCCTTACAAAAGACATATTTACATACATTAATATCTGTTAATATTGTGCATTATTAAAACATGCACAGACATCCTCCTTGTTGGCCAGTATTTCTCAGTACGTGAACATTTCCTGAATAAAGACACGACATATCCCTCCTTCCCTGTTACATCCTGGTTTCAAAGCTGATCAACACTGCAACACACCAGGAACCACAAGCAATCAAAAGACTTAATTTCACACCTAAAAATATTCTGCTCTAGCTGAAGTTCTAATACTAATTTTAATTATCTTTGCTTGTCTCTAGGAAGCCTGAAGAAGGCAAAGCAATCTGTATGTGTAGTACATGTTAATTCTAATAAAAGTATTTATTTTGCAGAAAAGGATTTGCAGCAAAATCAATTAATTCTTCCTTAGTTACAGAAAACTTTGACAGATTATAAAATTTCATTTTTGTTATTAATAAATTTAACTAAATTCAAAGAATTCTTGGACAAGGATATTGTTTTGAAAACAGTAGAAATTTGTAAGTACTAAAACTTTCCAATAGGCAAGTTAATATTTGCTGACCCCCTCATCAAGGTGTTTAAACCAAACAAAACAGGTACAGAAGGAGTGTCTTTATTGCAGCACTGAAAATAAACCATTGTGCAAGCAGCCACACCCTGGAAAACACTCTCCAAAGTGATGATGGAACAATTCACAGGACTTGTCTGCCAACTTATTCAAATAATATTTTTATTTTGATAGTTAAAGTTTTCCATAAACCAATGTTTACAATCAATGCCATAACTTCTAAACGTGCCAAAGTTTTATGATCTTGCACTCTCATGTATAGACACATTATATGACTGTCCTGGTTTTTAGCTGGGACAGAGCTGGGTTTCTTTTTAGTAGCTGGAATGGTGTTGTGTTGTGGTTTCAGCTGGGATTTGTTATGAGAGAGACACTGAGAACATCCCAGTGTTTGCATTTTTGTCGCTGGAAGTGAAGGACTTTGTGTTCTGTTAGTTTACAAGTGCCAGATCTAAGGGGGCGAGGACTATTTAAATGAATAAGCTACACTGGCATTTGGACATGTCAATGGGATATTCCATATCATATCATGTCATGTCCAGTATATTAGTGAGGGTCTCTTCCTCCTGTGGTTGCAGCTGTGTTGGCTGCTGGCCAAGGGCCAGACCAGTGAAACCATCACAATGACTTGTTCACAATAACTGAAGAAAGGTAAAGTCAGAGATCTCAGTTTCCAGGGTATCAGTTTATGGCTCAATCCAAATTTGCTTTAACTTTTTAAACTACTATCTGTACACAAGTGCTTATATACAAGCAATAAAGAATAAACTTTTCTTTATGGAAGTTCTCCTCACTCAGTTCCTCTTCTTTAAGCAGTTATTTCCCAATGAAAGCAGAAAAAATACACTGTGGTAAGAATTACACTCAAAAATTTTTTGCATTCAAGCCAGCTGATTGGATCAACTGCAGTAACATGGTAGAGTTTGCAGTCATCATGCTTGTAAGCTAAAAGTTGGATAAAATTGTTTAAGCACTCACAGTTACAGGCAGATGCTGCTATCTGATTCCTCTGTTGTACCTGGCTTCATTTTGTGTCCATCCCCAACAGTCATGTGTTATTGCAAGTGATGTGCCCCACTAGTATCTCAGTTGGCAGGGTTAGGATGCTTCCATGGGGATTTTTGCCTTCCTTACCCCACTAGCAAAACATCTTTCCCATGGTTATTGCAACAGTTCACCTACATAACCAATCTTATTCGGGACACAGGACTAATCTGGTTACTGAAGACTTTGGAAACCTGACATTTCAAAACACTTTAAGCCAACTTTTGCCATCACTACAACAATACAAATGGACTGATCCAAAACAAGGAGTTGTAGAACAACTGATTCTATAGATCAGCTTCAGCTTGTCTCTCTCCCTTCCCACTGGTTTTGCCTGAGGGGAGGTGAAGAGCATATGTAAGCTAATCTGCTAAAATACTTAATGCCTTCTACTGAAGCATGACAGTCAAAAACTCAGTTCTTCATATTCTTAATGCTTTTCTTTACCAACCTTGCTCCTTTCAAAGTGAATTCTCCAAGTGCTTCAAAATGCAGCGAAGCCAATATTGCAAAGGTTTGTGTTGAGCCCTGTAACTCATCCCTTCTGAGCTCCACTGTGCCTCAGTAAATCTACCTAATCTATCTACAACTATAACCTATGTAAATCCACTACTATATGTCTAACTACTATAGCTTTAGTATATAACCTATTGGCTTGATATTCTGCAGACTATTTTAATATGCAATACATGCAGAAGCATAACAAAATTGCACCTTCATGTGAAACCATGAAGGGAAAAAAAATAAAAATAATAATTTAATCATATATTACTCAGTAAATGAGGAACTAGAGGATGAATCACAAAAATCGCTACTTGCACAGCTAAGTCAATACCCACAGTGAAAGAACCCAGAGAGACATGAATCCATTTGCCATGATAAAAGCATCTACAGGCTCAAAACAGAAGAATGAAAAACCAAGAAGGTCACAACTCTACACACTTTCCCTCCAGGTACAAAAGGTATCTTTTTGTCCAATAGTACATATATGAATAAAAGAAAGACTGACAGGACAAATCATCTCAACCAAATGCTCACAAGTCTTTCCTAGAAGCATGAGCTGCAGAAGAATTATTTGATGTCATGTTATGATGTTGGCTCAGTGTCATCAGACAACAGTGCAATGTGTCAGAGAACATGCTCAAAAAAACCCAAACATGGAAATAGGTTTAAATTTTCTACATGGTATAAGCACAGAAATTTCAGTCTCTTGTCAGAGAGATCATAAGCAAAAAGAAGTATTTCAGTTTCACCAGTATTTGATAATGTGGAAAGATTACAACTGCAACTGCTGGTTTTGATTAATGTTTCCTTTGTTTTCTAGCTTCCACAAAGACCAAAGCAATAAATCATGAACAGTTCTCTTGCTTTCCACAGTTTTATCAGAATTGCACAGATACTTCAGAGAAGGTAACAAAACCAGCACTATTTCATTCCTTGTTCAGTACATTTTCTGCATTTGTTACTTACGGAAATATTTCAAGGTCTCTTCTATTTGCTCAGTTGTTAGGTCAATATTCACATCAGGGGAAATGAGAGGTGTATGAAGCCAGTCGTCGTGGTCATAACCATAGATTGTATCTGCTCTTAGCTTATAATGAGGCAGCTGCTCTTCCAGTAGACTGATGATTTCAACTTCAGGAAGATTGGTACTATTGCACACATCTGGTAAGAGGAAGAAGACAATCTCCATCAGATACTTGAGATTGAGTACTATACATACAAGCTAGCCAAGATGACAGTTTGGTTTTGTATCAGCAAGATTTTTCTGCATGTAGAAAACAGCTAGATACTAATCTGTTTAGAAGATATGACTACCTCAAATGATCCCAAAATAGCACACTTACTAGCAGAAAATACAAGGGCATGCTCTTGGGGACAAAAAGTCCAACCTCTAGAAGCAGGGACTCATCTCCTGAAGAATAAGGTGGAGATGGGAAGGAATAGAGAGCCAGTGAGCATTGATCAAGATAGGATAGTTATAACCTTATTATAGAGAAAGGATTAGTGCATACAGAAATTCACATTTTTGATGTTCTACTTGACAGATCATTTTTAGCTTGCAAGCTTTATGTATCTCCTTAACTTGGTCTTTGGCCACAGTTCAGTACCACTGTATTTTCTGCCTTTACTGCTGGCAGATTTTTCTCAAGAAAAAAAAAAATCCAGGATTGCAACAGTGTCACAGTTCACACCTAAGATGCACTGGTGAAGTTGGCTGCAACAACTTTTAGGGAACCTTTTGACAAGATCTCAACCTGCATTCTGTGATATCAGTCCCTCATGTCCACAAATCTATCAAGTTTGCACACAGTTTTAAAAATGAATACTGAGAGCCATCAGCAACTGCAAAAGTGCTGCAACTAAAATCTGAGATTTACATTTAGGGCAAGAGGGAGCTGAGAAGTTTTAACACAGAAAATTACAATTCAGCATAAAACCATTTTCACTATAAGGATGGTCAAACATGGGAACAGGGGTGCAGAGAGGCTGGGAAATCTCCCATCTTTGGAAAGACTGACAACTCTACTAAACAAGGCCATGAGCACTCACTGCTTTGAGTAGAAGTCATCACAGCTGTCCTCCAGAGGTACCTTCCAACCTATATTATTCTATTACGATGAATTTTTTGTGTGTGTGTGAATACCCAAAACAGGCATGATCATTTTAAGTATAGATATAAAAATATTTTAATTGTCATGTAAATTAACTACAATGTCTTGCTAAATAATTATTAAGAAATAGAGCAACCCCTGGTATGTTTTCCATAAATACTTAGTGCATCAATCTGCATTCCCATTTCCATGCCCAGACAAAATAAAAGACCACCACAGCCCCCCACCACCACTCACACAGACACACAAAATAAGGAAGAGCTGTCTAAACCTACTTTGGAAGAGCAAGCACTAAGGAAGGCTGCTCACATGCTGTGCAATGCAGCTCCACCTTTAACCAGTGCAGTAACTCTTGTAAAGACTCAGTCCACAGTAAATAGCAAAGACTGTCAATGGCCCTGAGTGCACACACAGGGCTCTACAGCCCTGACCAGGCTCATCAGGGACCCCACCCAGCACCCTCTGCCCAGTGGCTTCATTCAAACCCAAGCTCCCTGTCCTCCCCTGTGCAGTGCTGGAGGGTAGGTGTGTGCCCAACTCTGTCCCTGGCTGATACTGACTCATTGTCTGAGCTTCTTGGATTGACTACAGATCCACCTGGCGTTTGTCTGATGATGACTGGAGAGTTAATTTTAACTGCCAGCACCTTTGCCCTACTCAGGAACAAAGGGACTGTGCTCTGTCAACAAGGATGCTGCCCTTCCCATCCTGTGGTCACACTGGGCTGTGGCAGGGCTGTATGGCAGCCCTGCTCTTGCTGCTCCCCAACAAAGACACCTATTTTCACAAGAGAAACTCATTACTGCAGGATTGATGTAGACCTGCAAGCTAGTGGAATCAGCTTCTGTCAGGGGAGGGGGCAATAGGGGAATATCACATACTTTTCTAGAGACCATCAGTTACCTCTCCTTTGTCTTTCTAATCCAGACACTGCATTGTCACAAGCATCATCCCCAGCACTAAAGATTGAAAGAACGTTTCTATCAGACAACAGGGCAGGGGATACAGAGATTAACTCATATTATTAATCTCCTGTCTGTATCCTTTGCAGGATCCTATTGAATAAAACTAAAATCCACTTGGGAAAGTTGCATTATTCTTTATGGTTCAAGAGGTTGCCAGGGCAGTGGTGGAGTCCCCATCTCTGGAGGTATTTAAGAGTCATGTAGACATAGTGCTTGGGAACATAGTTTAGTTGGGGACTTGTCAGTGTTGGGTTAATGATTGGAACTGATGATCTTAAAGGTCTTTTCCAATCTAGGCAATTCTATCATTCTGTGAGTCTGCTATGAGAAGGTATTCACCTCTGCTTTCATCCAGGCTGTTCTGATAACTGTTGTACACACGTAAGTGTTCTCCAAACCTCACTGCAGAAGGGGATGTGCAAAAGTTAGCAGGAACAGGTACTCACATGTGCATCAACGGTATTTTATAGAGCTCCATGCAACGCGAGGATCAGGCTGCACACATGATTTTGAGAGGTCCTTGCAGCCCTCTCGGAGGACTAGCTTAGAGAAACAAGACCTGTTTCCCATGTTTCCAAAGCCCAGAGCTAACCTGTTACTACAGACCTTTCCTCTTCCCTGGCTACCTTTTTAATTGGTGACAACACCCATCTTAGTGCCTGCAAACATTTGAGTTCAAAAAAACCAGCTGATCTTCTAAAAAACACCCACAGAGGTCAACTAAACATTCAAAGATGTGTGTGCGTACATGCATACACAAAGATTTTTATTTTTTTAAATATATCTATCTCTTTGGATTACCTAATTGCTCTCACTATCAAGAATATGGAGTTGGGTTTTTTGGGGGTGTTGTGCTGAAATGTTTGTTCCCTTCTTGTGAAAGATGTAATAGTCTACTCATCCTGAATGCTGTAAGAAAAGGAAAGGAAAATGTTTGAAAAATTTAAACTATCAGTGTCTTTCTGCTTTTAACTAGTAGTTTAAAATAAATTGACTGACTTTATAGATGAAAAGAGAAAGTTTCAGGCAATTAATTTTCTGCAGAGAAATAAAACAGTTTGCTGTGTCATAAAAAGTAGCAAAAAAAAAAAAAAAAACCACAATGCAAAAGAAGTTATCAACAAAATTTAGGAGGGGAAAAAAAAAAAGCAGCCACACAAAAAAACCCCAAACCTCACATGTACACACACAAAAGAAACCCATACAGTTTTATTGTGGAAAATAAATCCACCAGAACATGAAGAACAAGCAGTAAATAAGTAAGAATTATAGTGGAATACAAGTCAACCAAGACATTTTTTCTGCTCTATCATACAATAAATCTGGAGTGTTTCTGAGCAATTCAAAGGCCTAACAACTGGAAAAGATATTAACAAGTAACTGGAAAGGCAACTTATTACGACGCTATTGTCATTAACTTCTATTGCAATTTTAACATCTGTAAAGCAGCAGGAAATGGGAGCAGGCTCTGATGTAATTGCCTATTTAGAAAAGCAGGACACCGTAATTACACTTGTGTATGACTAAACATTAGTTCACCATTTAAATCACAGCAATATTCTCAGTGCTACAATTACTCGGTCTTCCCCATCACTTTTCCTCCCCTCCCTTTTCTGAGGGGCAGGCACTGGTTATGAGAAGGTTCACTAACACCATCCTCCAACACCACTTACATTTTATAGAAGACTGATTGCGTTTCTAGATATTTTTAATTGATATTTGTGATTAAACTGCAAAGATAACTAAGTTCAATGTGTTCTCTATGCAGAATACCCGAGACATCATTTATGTTGTATGATTAAGTTCACTGAAGTCCAGCAGGCAAAAAAATGTTGCATCTCCTCCTGTCTTAAATGGTACTTTCCTTTTACTGAGTTAAACGTAACACATAAGCCTAAGACAATTAATTGTATAATTTTTATTAATGATCAACAAAATACAGTTGAACTATTTCCTCATAAGTTGCTCCGTTACAGGCTTTGGGTTTTGTAGTTTAAGTGATTTTAAACTTGCAGTTTCCTGAACATCCATGGCAAACAGAAACTTCTACAAGCACGTTACAAAAACTTAAATAGTTATATGAATTATGAACTCATTATTCTTACTAAAAGGTGGGCCATT